TCTTTTCTCATGCAAAGCTTATGATTAGTTGATTACAACGACTGGAAAAAAAATTGGGGTGCCCATGCTCGTTGGTGAGCTAGAGCCATTTTTCAGCTGACAGAGCTCAATATCAAGGCAAATCCATCATGTTTTCAATATGCGCGTGCACAAGCGCGCGCTAATGATGCCATAAATTATGCGCAGTAAGGATGCGCAATGCAAATGTGAGGAATGACCTTAAGGTGAATCCATTGTGAATCAAAGAACAACAACAACAAAAATCAGTAGCCACGGGAGAACAACGAAATTTTTACAATCATGTGGAGAGATTACTTTGTAGCATACAATTAGCATGATTTGGGTATTATTTTAAGGGAGTTAAATCATGACTTGATTTCCACCTCCCTGTCACTGACTTTCTTCATTCCCTGCTCCTGCTGAATGTAAGGTTCCCCACTCATTTTTCTTTGATCAGATTACCTTTTTATAATATGTTTGCTCTGTCATGGTTTTGTTACCAACTCACCCTTAAAGCAGGATCCGCGAGATGTTGTCTTTGTAGATAACGTCCAATAAACTCTGACTTTGTGGTTGTTGTAAATTGTCCCAAGTGGTGGGTTCTTGCATCCCCAGTAATAGTGGGTGGTCCATCAAACTTGTCAAAAGGTGCCACAACATCTCTTTTACTTACCTGTTTACCCAAGAACTTACTACGGTAATCTGAGTGTGGCCAAAGTTCTTTCTCTTTGTCACCTACATAACCATTTCCAAAGTTTACTCTTAGATGATAGCTGTGATCGAGGGCTTGTCATAGACCATGTTGTTGGTCCACAGGGAATTGAATTTTGTCTTTAATTTATTAATGGGCTGTACAATGTATGGTAAATGATACTTTTTTTTGGTGACATAAATCTTAGAATTATTCAAAAGAAGTTATTTTAGTTCTGCTCCAGGACTGATAGTTGGTAAGAACAGGGGTAAAGCCTCTTTGCCAGCCATCTGCTACTGTCAAAAGTACATGTAGGAGAGTTATCTGAGAGTTCTGTCTATGGAATTGGAAGATGTTCAATTAGAACTGAAGGTTTTTGGAGTTGTTTTTGTAATAAACAACAACAACAAAAAACACCCTTCAAGTTATCCTGGTTTCTTTTTGCATATCAACCTGGTAAACAGTATGATAGGAACTACATTTAAAGCGTACATGTAACAGATAGATTTCAACCTTACAGAAAATCACCCTTAATGATGATTTTATATACATGTAGCTCCTCCCCCCCTCCCCCCCCTTCACAGGGTTATCAAAAGTTGTCAACTGCCAGTGAAAGTCAGCATCTATTTAATGATCTGGGGGTACCCTACTGGTTTATTCTTCCAATTTCTTTAAACAATTATGCAAAATCAGCTGCCTGCTCCTACAAATAGTGCTGCCCACTTGAAAACTTAATGACAACCCATGCCTCAGGAGACCTCAGGATGGCAACTCACCTTGTGGAATGTAACTTCGCATCCAGTCACTCTTTCCTGTGGCAGCAGGGTTCCTGGCTTCATCAAGAGGTCGAACTGGATAATATTCTTTGTGTGTTGTCTGGAATGACTTCAACTGTCTGTCAGAATCCATCTTAAAATTTGTTCTTGTCAATGCTGATGTAGAATTCGCATAATCCTGTTTCCCAAGACTTTTCTCAACAAAGTGCCCTCGGGTCATTGAACACTTATCATTGTACCGGTCATCTTTGTGCATGATTGTTGCAGGAGATGGGGATGGTATGCGTTCCCTTTTAGTCAGAGGGAGGGGTGGGTAGTCCTTTTTAAAAGTACTCTTGTACACCTGTGGATCCTTATTTGGCGCCCATCGATCCTCGTGGCTTATTGTAAAATGAGAGGTGACTAGGAATTCTGAACCTGTTTTCTGGGCAGGGATCTTGTTCATCAATTCTGTCATGTTGTATTCTGTCTGTTTTATTAGATGCTTTGATATTTATCTGCCACAAAAAGTAAATAGAATTATTTATAATAATCAAGCAAATAACGAGCATTCTGCAGCATCAGCAGACAGTAATGATACTATAGTATAACACTGTAAGAAAAATCAAAGTATGTAAGCTTTCATGTAAATTTTAAGTTACAAAACACAAGTTCAAATTTTAGTTTTGATCGATTCATACTGTCTGTTTTAGTCGAGTTTCAGGGACAATACGATGTTAAGAAAAAGATGACCCAAGTTTTTCAATTTTTTAAATTTTTAACTTGGGTTTTTTCACTTTACCATACTCAAGGAGTTCGAGCACACAAAGACGATCGAGTCTCTTGACTAATAGAGGACTACTTCAAAACTTCGCGACTGGAATGTGAGCATTGTTTAAACACTATGTAGCTTTTCTGTTTGTTAAAAATGATCGATGACAAGTTCAGCATATCTAAGCAGTTTAACTTACCTGTTTAGAGAAAGGGACAAGAAGGACAGCATTAGATATAGCTCTTCAAAGTTTGTAAATTAAAATCATCAATCAAAGTTCACGCAGCAGTGGCTTCTATGTTGCCTTCACTTCATGTGTTGCCATGAGAACAACGGAACTTCCGGTCAGGTAAGCCTCGAAGTGATGTGGCGCGAGATCAACTTTAAAAAGGCGCGAAGATTCGAAGGAAGACATTTTGATTTTCACCTTTCACCGATTTACAGTGAAAATTTAGTTCGAGTTCACCTTAGCTGAGGAAAATGGTACGAACGAAAGCAGACGGTGCTGGAAGAAGAGGTAAATGAATTAATTTCGTGTATTTAAAACTAATTAAAGGCCATGCATAGCGTCCCGCGTGCATCGAGTGGATCATGTTCATTTCATTCGATTTGCTTCTGAATTCGGTTTGAACAGATTTGATTAATAAATTTACTATTAAACTGAAGATCATTCTAGTTATAATGTTATACCCTGATATTTTAGAGTGCTGACACAAAAGTAGGCATCGAGGACGAATTTCTACGTTCCTTTAAATCAGGGTGAAATCAACACCTTCAAAGTTCATAAATTCACGTTGTGACTAGGTATTGAAACTAAAGCGTATAAAGTTTAATGATGTCTTGCTAATCAACACTCACTGTTGCCAATCAAACCTACTTGCTCGGTCGTTTTTCTTCTTGAAAGTGATCTAATGTCAAGCTTAAACGTTTTTGGTTCAAGTGATCAATCGTTTTATTTCGTGGTCAATACAAGAGATTGGAGAGGAAAGAGTTAAGTTGTTTAAAGAAATTCACTCTGCTTCATCATTACACAAAGTTTCCCCTAATGATATAGAAACAAAATTCAGATGATTCATAGCTCTTGGTTTCTAACAGGATATAAATAAATGTGGGCAATCTTCACTGAGGTGAATCCATTGTCATGAAATATACCCACATTTATAATGGTAATTAAATATTTTAGAGTTGTTGATCAGAAATATATAAGATCGAAAAAGAGAATAGAATCATTTCACAGGTCTATGGGTGCCCCTCATTCTTAGCCCATTATTTCGCCAACAAAATTGCAGATTTGAGTATCACATATAAAAGGATGAAAATAACTTAACCCCCAGGGAGGGGGTACTCCCAGAAAAGTTGGGTGGGGGTGTGTGGCCTGCCTCCCTAAACCCTTACCCTATTTATGACCAAAATCTGCAAGTTTCACTACCCTATTTAGATCTGACCAAAAATTCAATACCCTCTTTATGACCATTGCTTCTGACACAGTTGCCCTAAACATAATTCATGAAGGGCGTTTGTTGATGGTCTTATCGATAATGATGAAAAAGTAACTTCTAAGAAATATAGCCAATTTGAAGACAAGAGTGCAAAAACCATACCCTATTTATGACCAAAATCGACACCCTATTTTAATTTATGACCAAAACAGCTGAAAAACCATATCCTTTGGGACGCACATACCTAGATAAAGCCCATATAAGGGAGAACCCCCCCCCCCTGGGACTTAACCCCTTGGTGATTGTAGTGGGGTGGGAGCCTTAAATGCCAAACATTTTAAGGGAGAGAATGAAGCAAAACTGGAATTTCCAGGGGGTAGGAGGCCGTAACTAACAGAAACCTTTTGTCATGAGGTCTGGATATTTTACAGAACAACACTAGGTATCTAATGCTAGTGACAGTCATTCACCCAAGTGTTAATTAGTTACCTCGGATTACAGTACAACAAGCTAGTGGATATGTCAAACCCTGCCACTCATTCACCCCTAATATGGTTATGATGTTGTTCTTGTTGCAGCTGTTGGTGCTAAAGCACCTCGTAAGCAAGTTGGTGGAGGGTCATCATCAGCTGCCAGTAGTTTTGGTTCACCAACTAGTTCAGGAAACAAGAACAAGTATAATGGAGGAAACCCTGTAAAATGGTGGCCTTCTCCCAAATGGCAGAAAGGTATTTTCAGATAAGAAAAAGAGACTTGCTGTTAAAGTTTTCAAGACATGTGTAATGTGCCACAAGATAGTACTCATGTTTCGAGAGGTGTCAATAATTTTCTTTGTAAAATCACCACCTGCTCATTTTAAGTCAACACTGATAGTGACCTGTTTGCCATTTTATTATAAAGAGTTTGCATCGTAACGAGTTCCACAGTGCAAATCTGCTAAATTTTCTAATGTCTAGAGGTTGATACATAATTCATGTCCCTGAAATCAATTACTATGCTTTTCAGAGTCACCCCTATGAACAAAGTACCGGTATTGTTTAAACAAAAAATGAGCCGAACTTTTGAAACAAAATTATGATTCCACTGTAAAGTAAATTTCCCACGGGGAGGGGGAGGCGGGGGGTGGGGGGGTGGTCAAACCCAAAAAACCTTCCATGGAGAGATATAGATACTTTCCGAAACAATGCATTGTCAACAGTGACAAAGTATTTTTACTCGTAACCGTGATATACATTCTCATTTTCAGGGATTGGAGATTTCTTTCCCAAAGATAGCACAAGTAGTGAAGTTTCACCAGAAAAACCTGGCCCCTCAGTTGCAAATGAGTGCCCAGGGACTTCGTCTGAAGCACAAGGGATTGAGGGAATTGAAGAAATTGTGGAGGACTAATGAACGTCCTCTTTGTTTGCAGCTCTCAGCATCAACAGATTGGCATAACCCTTCTATGAGAACTATTTATTCTGTTTGATTTCACTTTTTACATATAGTTTTCACCTCATTAAAAGAAATCTGTTGCAGCTGATGATTTGCCTTATCTAAAAAAAATAATTACACATATTATTTGCATATACCTTTTCCCCTGGTTGGTGACAGCACATGCAATTTAAAACCAAAGTTAGATGCAAACTAGGGGACCTGATGTATAGTCGCTGATGTTAAAAATTGTACAAATGTTTTCACTGCTAACTATTTTAATGAGTGTAAAGTGCTCGATTGTTTGATTAAACCAAATTAATGTGGAAAAATTAGATTACAATAATTTTACTTTAGAAACTTCATTTGTGCAAGCATTTTGCAAAATAATGTATGCGAGAAATAGGAATTTCAATACTCTGACTCAGGATAACTGATTTCAGATAATTTTCTTTCCTGTAGCATTTAGGCTATGTACAGATGTATGCAAGGACCTTTTACATTTCGCTTTGAATGTGGATTTATTAAATTATATTACCAGTACTGTAGTCAATGGTAAGCTGGAATAAATTATAGATTGAGAACATGATATTCTTTTGTATAGCATTTTTGCGAATATTAAACTATGATTTGCCTTATGTATGGTGTCAGCATACTGGTGGATTTTAAGAGGCAAATATAGTCAGTCCCTGGTATTTAAAAAACAGACATCTACCCCAAATTTAGATCCAGTCTAGCAGATAAAATTTCTTGACTCAAACAGTTATTTTGCTATAAAATTATGAAGAAATTTTTTGATTGGACGGATGCACTTGTCCCATCAAATTCAAAGACATCATAATTTCACTACTGGATATCAAGCTAGGGAAGCCATAGCCAGTAACGGTGCAAAAAATATGTAAAGAGCTAGGCTGTTGACCAGTGGACTAAACCAGGAGTTACTGTGGTTCTCACATCTAAGTCTGAACAAAACTCCACTCTCAGTTAGGTCTTAAAGTTGAACTGAGAAGTGTGGAAAATGGTAAATCAGACTGAGATAGTGAGATGTTTGGTCACAAATAGGGTATGGTTTTTACAGTTTTTCATCATTGCTTGCTTCAATGATCTAGATAGTACTGTTGTGTACTTCTTCCTGGGCTGTGACAAACAATGATCAGTATATTTATTACACAACTAAGATAGCTCAAAGGGCTAATGACAAAAATCAACCAATCATATTGCTATTGTTGATCCAAAATTTTCTGAGTAGTGAATTGAGCACTCTGCTGATCCTATGTGACTTTTCTTAAAGGTTTTCTTGTAGTTTTCTGGCTTACTTTTCTAACAGAATTAACTTTCATGTAATAGATCCTTTTTCCTACAACTCTCTTTTCTTTATTTATTTTTTGTCAGATATGAGAAAACACCAGTTCAACTCTCAATCAGAATTGTATGGTTTAAGTTTAGTCTTTTCAGTCTGTGATCGTGGGATTATTTTGAAACAATTTCACATAACAATGGCCCTTGTTCTTGCCGTGCTTAGTATAAAGCTTTAAAGACTTTGGACCAACATTCTCCTGGCACAACCCTTGAACCAGGTTATTAAAACATGTTTATCATCAATTCAAACATTACCACTCCTTTGCTATTGACTTTTAGTATAAATCTATTAGCATTCTATCACAAATGCCATTCTCTGATTGGCTACACTACTCACTATCTATTCTGTTATGTAGCATAGGAGAGTGCATTTGTTAACAAAATGATGGCTGCTTCTTTGTGTTTTCAAGGTGTCTGCCAAGAGGATTTAGGTAATGTTTTGAATGACTTCTAGATTTATACTCAAGATGTTATTAGTTCATAATATTTATATGCGTGATAGAAATCTCGAGCTCGTAATCTAATTGTTTAATAAAAATTCTTATTAAAATGTTCAGTTTGAAGATTGTTTATGAATGCACTTCTTTTCCCAACTAACCATGAGTAAAATGTTTTTATGAGTGCTGCCAAGCTCCTGAGGCAACCACATACTGGGAAGTTAACCCACTGACAAGACTTCTAGCCACCGTCTCACTGAAACCTGGAGTTAAAGTGCAAACCCTTGAGAAGGCTTCAATTTCACTGACACACCACCAAGTTAAGCATGTTTAACTAACTAAAGCAAGGTTACAAAAAAGTTGCTAAAGTCACATGCACGCCAAAACTAAACAAGGTAAAAACCTGTGTGATTATAATATCCTAGAAAGGTGGTTTGAAATTTGTCTTCCCAAGATAACTGAAAAGAATAAATAATATTGACAAATTAGAAAAACCTTAACCCAATTTAGTTGAACTGGTTTAGCTGGTGAGAATGGCTAGTAACTAGTTAGTTACTTTCTGCAGATGTGCAGGAACTGATCAGTCACTAGCTATTAGAAGAGTGGGTTTCATTTGTGTCAAAAATTGGTTTTGCATTGCTACGGTACATAATTAGCTTAAAAAACTTGTGCCACTTTTTCATCCAATCAGAAGAAAAACCAAAACCAACAGTAACTTTTTCCCACACGTTTCCCATGCTTTACTACATGCACTTATGCTACATGTACATGTAACATAATTATACTAAGATTTGATTGATTCATTGGATTACCCCTGTCCTTTGTGATTGGCTAGAGTGATTGGTTTTGGTGTTGACATTCAACTGAAAACCACGTCAACAACTGTAATAGTAAGACTAGAGAAACTAGCAAGGCATAATTATAAATTACTTGGTTTGGCCCATCATAAGTTAAACTCTACATCCTGCACAGTATAAATGTAATGTCTGATACAGACTATTTCGCTGTTCAAATGAACATTTGCTGTAGAAGAAAAAAATTCGCACAAAACCAGCAGAGCAAACTGAGAAAAAGGTTTATCTTTTAATAATTAATCATCTAAGTATACAAAGATTTTGAGACTTTCTTTAAATGCTTTAATGATAAGGAAAATATTTTCCTGTAGACTGTACAAACCACATGATCTCTACATAAATTGACAATTATGATGGACAATTCTGTATAATTACAAATCAGTGAAAAATGACACTATATATGAATGACTATGTTATTCTGTTGGTTTCTCCCAAACCACTTGTGATTGTCAAAAAAGGAATTGTAATTGAACGATGGGTTGTCATGAAACTAAATCATTGTGTCAGTAAAACAGGGCAACAAGAACAGCTTCTTCCCCTGTCTGGCCTGTCATGGCAATAATCTCCATAACTCAATTACAATAAAAAATTCCAGAATTCTTGTGATATTTTGTTGGAATTATCTTTGGGCAAGATCTTGCAATGGGTTGATTTTTAGAAAGAACACATTCTTTGGATTATTGGGATGGCAGCCTGCAGTTTCTGATAACTTTCTACTATTAAAAATGCATTCAACTAATGAAAACAAAATCATGCAAACAGAAACCACTGATTGCGCAGACAAAAATATTGACAAAATTATCTAGAGACAAATTTGTCCTCTGAAAGTCACCACATGGCCTAGAGCTGTACAATGGAAAGGTCTTCTCAGAAGTGATTGATACAAAAATGTGAAATAACTACAAATTAAACTTGCAGAACCTTCTTGGCAACATTAATGGGTCTGAAAACACTACAACTGTTTTACAATGTTTGCAGTCTTTCACCAAAAAGTCACAACATTTAAGGTTTTTAAAAATTTTAATATAACCCCAAATTTGGCACAGGTCTTTCTCAAACTCATTTTAAAAAGTTCCTCTCCAGGCCCCTATTGTTTTTTAGTGACCAATGGGTTTTACAAAGTCAATCACTTCAAAGTAAATGTCATTTTATTTGATCGCTGTGTAGACAATCCCAGAGTCTCTCGAACCTGTACCAGTCCCCTTCTCTTACTAGATGTAGCAATGAAGTCTTAAAATATAAATATAGGTAAGGCAAAACTCGCATTTTCTCTGTGAGATGCAGAGCAAAGATCACTCACATAACATTTTATACAATACAATAAGGAACTAACTAAAATGAGTTTCAAATGGCCAGTGAAGAAACTGAAGTGTAAATAATAATAATAATTATTATAATCGCAGAATAATGTTCACCAAAGATAACAGTAACCAACAGTCTGAGCGAGTTTCCCATTGTGTTTTTGTTTGAAATGTTTGGAATACACCTTGCATTTCTGGTTGTGATCATGGATAATCAATCTTCCGATCAGTCCACCTAGTCACATAGAGAAAAAGTTGAGAGTGGCTTTCATGGACTGTTGATCATCTTTTATTTAAATTATTGTTACAAATAAAATCCACTAGATTAAAATGCTTCATTACTTAACTAGACAATTTTTTTTTAAAATTTTGTGCAATGTACCAAGCTGTCACAGAGTAAGAAATTAACCAAGGTCTGCCTAGAACATTAAATTCCATCTCTTTTCATTATAAAATTGACCCAACTTTCTACAAAAGGTTTTGCCATCTTTGTCCTTATGCTAGAGAATCTTGAATGTAATCCAAATGTTGAGGCAGAGGGGGGATGGGGGGATTATTTGTGTCTTGCAACTGGCTGCTTCTTCTTCTTTTTCCTTTTGAAAAAGCAACAACACCTGTGGAGACAAAAGATAGTGTAAAACATAGTGACTCGATAATCCCAGTGGAACAACTACGCTTAAATTTAGTAACAGCATAATGCAATACCACAGAAACTGGTTCATAAGCTACTTATCTCAACACAGTTATTTGGGCTGCAATGATCTAGGGTGGTAAATTCTAGTCTAACATTGCTTACCATTTTTTAAACCACTTCATATTGCTACCTCAAGCTTCAAACCTTTCCTTTCTTCAAAACATTACAGGGATGTATTAATGAGCATGAATGTCAAAACCTACCTTTAATTGAAAGTTAAGCCTTGACAAACAATGTGGATGCCCAGATGAACAAACAGGGTACAGAGAATAATCACATCTTATGATAATTAACAATTATTCCATGAGCGCGCGTTGGATATGAGATGGTAAATAGCCAACAAGCGCGAATGGAATAATTGTTTTATTAAATTCGGTGCGTTTGTATACTTGGAAATTATAGCTTAATTTTATTGGGTTTTAATTTTACAAAGCGACCGGAAATCGATGTGGCAAAAACAACAAGTGGGAAATCACATGACATGCACGCTGTTTGTAAAATTAGTTGAATGAAAAATTTGAAAGCGAAGCAAGCGAATTTGCTGAATGAATTTACAATCAAGTAGAATTCAAGGAACGTATATCANCTTCTTTTGACATTGCTTATATCGGTTTCGGAAATTTGGTGCCACCAGGACTAGCAAGCCCTTCTGTTAAGGTAAACATTGTTTTTGTTACATAATCTTCATGAGTGCGTAAAATCTCGACTGTCATATTTAATTTTGCAACTTTTCGAGGAAACTTAACGTATACGTACTGTTAAATAATCTAATCTCGAACTTTGTGGCTTTTTTGTTGTTACTGGGACGGCATTGTCCATAATTTCCTGTATCTCTTCTGTAGATAGCTCACCGAATCTGTTTTTTTTCGTGCATGTTTTTCTCGACGAAACTTGGTTTCCCGCGAAAAAGTTTATGCTGAGCGACATTTACCGCATTCATTTCCATATAAGGTCAAACGTAGGTATAATGGCTGGTAACCGAGATCCAGTGAACCAATAAGAAAGCTAGAATTGCATTATCCGAGGTTGAGAATTTAATAATAATTAATATACATGAATACATACTTTGTTTCTTCAACAACTTCAACTTCAGGTTGTTGCTGTTGTGCATGTAGAGGAGTACCAGCCTTCCCCTCAAGACGGCTATCATCAACAGGGCCGAGGTCGCCGTTTGTTGAGCTGACCACCTGTACAGAGCCCCCTAATCTGTCTGCAGTTGGAGCCAGTAAGCCACCAGACTTCTGAGCTTGTGAATTGTCAGCCCAAGCACCCTTTCTGTCTTGGGCAGACTAGAAAAGAAAAGTCCAAATCACATTTAACACACGAGGTGTACACCAGACCTAGGAGATGCCCTAATGTACTGTAAAATTTGTCAAGAATACAATTTATGATTACAGAAATACGGCAAATACTTACAAGAAAAAACATTATGAAATTGTGAATGAAAATCAAAAGTTGTTTGACTCCTGCAATGAAAGAGTAGAGTTAAATTTGATCATACCTTGTTTGTTCCAGATGTGGATGTAATTCTCTCATTTGCTTTCTGAAATCCAGCAGGAAGCTGAGAATCTCTTTGATTGTGTGGATCTGAATGACTCAGGGAATTAATGGGACTTGGCTGTGGGAATTGCAGATCAACAAATGTTAGCCAAATAAACCAAAGTTTCTAATTCACCATCTAAAGAAACGAACATGCTTGTGAATTTCTGGTACTACTATAACTGAATACGAGTGTAAAGCATTACATTTTTTGTCTGACAAAAGTTGCAGCAAGAACTAGTGACAATAGCTCTGAGTGAAACTTAAGTGCTTTGCACCTTGGCTCAAATTCAAACTATAGTTGGACCTGGCTAATTCAAACTTGCTTATTTCAAATTCCCTGTTATCTGCCCTTCAGTCATTTCCTATTGGCTATTTCGAACTACTGCTATTCAAACTATGTTTTCGTTTCCCCTGAGAGTTCAAAATGGCGAGGTTCAACTGTATAGGTTTTACTCTGCACCTGCAATCACAGGCACACAAAATTCACAGGGCTGAAAACTTAGCCTACAAGTATGTTTTATTTGAAAATTGAGCTCTCAAGCATTATTAACATTATTGCAGTGCAATAAAGAACAAGGAAATAAAAAATCAAATCCCCTAAGTTTCTCTTTCATGACATATAACTACTGCAATCATACTATTTGCTATTGTAACTAATTATCTCACTTAATGCTTGTTGACCAGTAGAATTCTAAGGGCTATAAAATTGACTTATGGTATATAAAAGTAATTTTCAATTACTAACTATATTTTTGTGACCATGTGAAGAAGCACACTTACAATTTGCTTGTGTGTCCAGTCAAATTCACCGTCTTCAATAAAACCTCTTCTTTCAAATAAATCCTTAAACAATTTTCTTAAATACTCATAGTCTGGCGTTTCAAAGAAATCAAGTCTACGAACATAGCGTAGGTATGTGGCCAGTTCCTCTGTGGTGACAGAAAGAAAGAAATAAACAAGAATATTATTACAGGTACTATATTTTAATGTCAATGAAAACTTTCGCACTCTAAGACAATGGACTGTAAATCTATTAGCTCTAAAAGGGTAAACAGTAGACCAGTGGTGTGAGTTTTTAAGCTATTCATGCACTGCAGGGCAGTGCAGTACAGTGTAGGGATGCAAAACCAATTACTTTTCAGCACTCAAATGAAACTACTCTGTACATGTGGAGAAAACAGTAGAGCATTTAATTTACAATGGATTCCCCAGCTAAGCTGCAAGAGTACAAATGTGCTAAACATGTATAATGAAATGACCATAAAGGAAATGTGTACGCATTTATATAAACTTACAGGCTTAGTTAGAGAAAAGTTAATGAGTTGCATCAAAAATGACCTGCCTATATTTTATAATAAGTATTAATTAGTTTACATGTAAATGTTTACTACATAATGAGTTATTTGAAAAGCACAGCATAACAAATTTGTGCTTTTCTTTCTGATAGCTTCAAATAGGACATGACATTTATGTACCTGGATGATTCTCACAAAGGACTTCAATGGGTGTGGCACGTTTTGTGTCTCCAATCTTTTGGTATCTTTCCTTCAGGGTGTCTGCCTGTTAAAAATGTAAAGTTTATCACAATTTGATCTACAGTGGTTTTCAATCGAGTGTTGGAACACCAAAATCAAAGTTATCACTCTAAACAATAAAAAAGGTCAAAAACAATCCTATGAATGAATCACAACTTGAATTACATGTAGCTAAAGCAAAGCACAGGAAAACAAGCCTGATCAAGTTACAGTAATGGTTTTATTTCTTATTGGATGAAAAGTGGTGCAAGTCTTAAAAGCAATCGTGTAGTGTGGTGATGAAAAACCAATACATTTTTGACACTCAAATGAGAAATGCTCTATACATGTTTAGAAAACAGCCCTAAGAAAATACATGCACTGATTGGTTAAATATTGTGTTTCTATTAAGCAATTAGATTATGAGCATGAGATTTCTATCATGCATAAAAATTGAGAGCGAATAATCTAATTGTTTTAGTATAAATCTACTAGTCATTAAAAATTTATCTAAATCCACTTCACGGACAACTCAAAAACGCAAAGTAGCCATTACATGTATTTTGTTAAAGAGTGCACACTGCTACACTACTCACTATCTACAACAGAATGGATAGAGTAGCCTAGCCAATCACAGAACGCCATTTGTGATAGAATGCTAGTAGATCTACACTAAAACTTGATAGAAACACAGAACTAGCACAAGCTGTTGACATAATGATAGTGTGAGCAAAGAGAATTTAAATTTTGATTATCAAAGTAAACAAGTTGCTCTCCTATTTATGTTGTGGTGTTTTCTAAAAGAAATAGGAAACATATGTTCTTCAAGTTTCTATCAAAGTTAACTAACAAACTCCAACTACAGTGGAGTTGAGGCACAATTAAGCCTAAGAATCATGTTACAATTTTAAAATACTAAAATTGGCCTGTTGCATTTGCATTTACAGGACAGAGCTGGAAGGAAAGAGTTTACTTACTTTCAGCCCTTGCCAAGGAAGGCTTCCCCTTAGAAAGTACATGAACATATGCCCTAGTGCTTCTAAGTCATCTCTCCTACTTTGCTCTGAAAGAATTCAAACAACCATAATATATACATGTTGTAAACACATATAGGATCAGTACTGCAAGATGCTTTCATCCTGTCGATTCTCCCACAGCACTAAGCACACACTTAAGAAATGGAAAAGAATGATAAGAATACAATGTACACGTTGTAGAGCATCTTTACACCACTGTATGATTATACCAACACCTTCAGAAGTCAGCCACTTAGGGACCTTAGATTTGAATCATATACCACTTTTGCAGAGCAATCAAGACTGCATGATGAGTGACCAAATAGGAATGAATGAAGGAACAAAGGACACAAAGAAGGGCAACAACTTCATTTTCTCTTTCAGACATGTTTTTTAATAGTCTTCACTCACCCAACTGTAGACCAGTTGAGATTCTCAGTGCCTTATGGTAAAGCTGATAAAGTACTAGTCACTGGGCTAATGAGATAAAAACTCACGGGAAACCCTTTTTTCCTGTGATACACAATGAAAAATCATACTTCTGGTGGACTGCTTTGTTTTAGAGAGTCAATGTTCACAACAATAACATCTGCATAACTCAACAACACAACGGTATGCATACCTTTTCCTAAATGTGTGTTAATACTCATGTATCTTGCAGTTCCTGTTAAACTTTTGTGTTCTCGATATGGTATATGTTTTTTAGTTTCTGGATCAATGTACTCCTTTGCAAGACCAAAGTCTATAATGTGAATTGTTTTCTCTTTGCCTGATGATTTACGACCAATGAGAAAGTTCTCTGGCTTAATGTCTCTGTAAATCATATTCTTGGAATGAACACATTCGAGTCTTGAAATCTGCAGGAAAAATTGAGAGAAATAAAATTCAATACAATGTAAATCTCCTTGAACTTACTCAAGTCAGCTTGAGTAAGCCAGAAAACTCATCAATGTTGCCCAATGAATGCACAAAGCTGTGAAACATAATTCACCAAAGATGACTAACAACAACAACAACAACAACAACAACAAAAACTTTAGTTAAGTGTCTGGGGGTATTTAGCATTGCTGCTAATTGGGGACACAACATAAAACATTAACTGAGAACTGTTGAAAATAGCTTTAAACAAATTATACTAACACTAACCCAAGAATGGAACTGAAAACATGCAAGACTGGGAAATGTAATGTATAATGATCTTTAACTGCATAAAAATTACAACTCACAATCTACAAGCCAGCTCATAAACAGCTCTTGTATTTTCAGTACATCAGAAGGTCTACATAAACAATAGCATCCATTTGGTGCGAAAATATGCTCAGATATTTGTCCGCGGACATTATCTGTTCCCGAGAAGCAAACAGCTTTCCAAGAGCATCATAGCTCAAGGAAAACTGTGAGCTTTGAGGAACAGATAATGTTGAGGGCCAGATGTCCAAGCACGTTTTCGCAGCGAATGGAGGCTATCATCTTTATTATCCCTCAAATATTTTGGCAACGCAAAAATTGGGGAATATCACTTAGATATTCCCCAGTTTTAGCTGAGGTATATTTGGTCATGTGATGCGTTTAGACCAATTGCGTGCCTGTGGAAATATTTGGTGAATTATAATTTGTGATATATATGTGATGTGATGAAAGTAAAAAATCAAATTGGCAACTATTTAACATGTGGTTAATGGTGGTCATGATTTTTCAAAGACAAGGTGATGCAATATAAAAACAAATACATTTGTACCAGAAAGTCCACTGGTGAACAATCTCTATTTTTCCTACAAGAACTAAAATAATTATCGCTATCAACTGACCAGGAAAAAAATCACTCATCATACTGATAGTCACTCATAGTGGTGATGATTTTGAGCTGGTAATCCCCTGCGGCATAGGCACAACCACTCAAGTACAAGGTTTACAAATGCATTCTTACTGCTTCATATAAAATATCACTTACTAGCTGGATGGCAATCATAAGAACTGTTTTCAAGCTAAACTGTCTGTTACAGAGATCAAACAGATCCTCCAAGCTTGGTCCCAAAAGTTCCATGACTAATGCATTGTACTTCCCACATGGGCCAAAGTAGTGCACCTGAGGTATCCCCTCTGCAAAGGATTGATTTAAGTGATTTCAATATAAGCAAGCAAAATTTACACTCTTGTGTGTATAAGTCTGTGTACCCAACCACTCTCCCTCAACACAACCCATCCTACAAAACATCTCACGTGATGATGTGATCAAGACATTGCTATTCCTTTTGTGCACATCAACACGTTAAGAGTCAGAATTTAGAAATGAAACCTTGGATCCCCAAGAACGTTACATGGCTTAATAATAATAATTATTATTGACTGAGCAGGGTGAGAATACCTTCTGGTGTTGACCACTTAGTAAAAACTTTACTGTGCTTTAGAAATAAGTTCCAGGTAAACAAGATCCAAACCAAAATTACCTTTTTCTACGCAGGTACCAAGTGGTTATTTAACATTATGTTTCAGTCACCAGATGGAAAAATCTGGTCACTAAAAGGTGTCCATTATAGTACCGTATTTACCCGTGTATTAGTCGATCCCGTGTATAAGTCGACCCCCAATTTTTGAGGCCAAAAACTAGATTATCTTAATTTCCAGGTAAGAATTTCTTGGAAAACTTATCTTGTATTTCTTAAAATTATCTTTCAGCTACCACAGATATGTAAACAAATCACAGCATGTTTCAATGCGCAGTTTTAAAGCTTATTTTGGCACGTATACGAGCGTTTTACCCAGTTTAGCAACACATGTGCATGCAGACTTTTCGATGATAATTTTTGTAAAATGCTCACAAAAATCAAACGTAAGNACGTCACGTTTTTGGCAGCAATTCTCACGGCCCGAATGATTTCAGATTTCTTTTACCTTACAGCTATGAGTTGTATTTTTTTAATCGCTAGGTATTTGTTGAGAAAATTAGACATATCGTTTTTATGCTTAATTTTATTGACGGGTAGACTAACATTGTTACAAATAATTTTTTTTTCATAATTTACTTCCTATAAGTAGCCGGCGCGCCAACGGTGACTAGACGGCGAATTTCGCCGGTCACCGGAGCTTACGGAGAACTCTGTAGATAGCTCTCTTAGTTTGAAGACAGAATGTTAAATTATGCCACTTTCTTTCGTCATCTGTTATATTGTCACTATTGTCTGGTACCGTAGTAAACTTGTATTTACATCATCTTTAAATTTGGAGAGATCAAATTCTGATTTGAATGCCCACAATACATCCATGAATTCTTTAGCACTTTCTTCTTCTCCTGACTGCAAAAAGTCTTCAAAGAGGAAATCTGATGTTTTTATTGATGAATATGCAAATTATGGCAAAAGGAAAGTTTTGCCTATGGTATGTTTTTCAGATGAAACTGCTGAAAAATGATGGCCACTAACTGTCAATAACATTGAAGAGGGTGGACTACAACTGCTGTGGAGGTCATTTAACAGGAATACCTTCATTTTTGACAGAAGTTATTTTCCCTGGACAAGGGATTTTAAGTTTCTTGTTGAAAACATGTGAAATTTTTTGATTTAATAATTACTTCCTTGAAAACATTGGACAACACAATAGAATTCTGATTGCCAACATTCGATTTTTAGTAGCACTGGTGACCAGCTGGTTGCAATATTTCACACAGGTAAAATAGATGCTGATGGTGGCAAAAAAGACATACAAGTGAAAACATGTAACTAAGAAAGCCAGATACAGTTCACATAGGTTTAATGCAAGCAAAAACACACTGATCAGTGGCAGGTTTAAGAGCCGAGCATACCAGACTATAAATGGGAATAAGCCCTAACACAATGGCTCACACTATCTTATCACCTACTTCACAATTCATTTTGAAGAATGAAAAAAAAAATGGAAATAAAAACCCAACCTTCAAAATGAGTGCATGAAGTACATGGTTTTATGCATGTGATAAAATTGCACACAATTTTACATTGTGGGTTAACAAGAAGAAATGTGAAAATTCAAATAAGTGCTCCAAGGCAGGTTCTTACTAAATAAGGAATTCCCATGTATACACAGCAAGCTGAATCAAACTAACCAATGCTCAGCTTCCCATCTAAGAGTGTTCACAGAAAGTCTACAAAATTGATTGCCTTCAACCATTTGAGTTTGTAACAACATACAGGTGCACATCATTAAAATGAGTCAAATGCACTTGCAACAAAATTACACAAAATTTGCAATTTATACTTGAATATGGTCAGGACAATGTTTTTGGGCATCTTCATAGAGCTAGGCACATACAAACACCTCCAAACATGCTCTAGGCCATGACGTCCATCGATCCTCTTCCACTAGCCTTAAATTACCACAGAAGCAGAGGTGTTTTACCTCTGCTTTGTATCACATAAGTTATGAAGTCATTTGTTCTGTTTCCAAGTTCAATGACATGCATTATGCCATGCATTTCAAATGGCTTGCTTTATTTTTAACTCTAGCTACACTGAAACACAGGATTACCCAACTATTCTCGAGTCCCTCACTTCATTGCATCTGAAATACAAGTTTACAGGTTCCCTTGGATACTGACGAACAGTAATTAACTATGGGCTGCAGTACTTAGCATTTTGCCAGTAAATTGAACTTCAAGACTCATCCCATCTTTTCATACTTAGTTTGGGAAGTATGCATCAAGAGCGTGCACATTTACACCACATGTGTTATTAATCACTTGAAATTATTGAAACTGTTGCATTTAACTCCTGTGAAACGTGATTTAGGATGATTTAGGGGGGATGTTTTGTTGAAAAGATATTGTTTCATTTTATGGTCAGCTTTTTGACCTTGTTTCCAAGGTTGTCAGAGTTCAAACTTACAGAAAATTGTACAGCCACTTTTCTGGGGCCAGCTTTTCATATCTCAAGTGTTTGAGATACTGGATCAGAATATACTCTACTTTAGTACAAACCATTCATGTAACTTCAAACATGACTTGGGTTACAAAATCATAAAGACAAACAAAACAATATGATCTATACGGAGGGGGAAAAGTAGTGAAAGAAACCAACTGTGGCCCTGATACAGATTGTCTTCGGAGGTAATAATGTTGAAAGCAAAAATAATAACAAAACATATATGTCTTAAAAATTCAATAATTAAATGTCACCTAAAAACAAGGCTTCATCAAAATCCTTTAAACTGACATCACAAAGTTACCATTACAAAGACCTTGTTATTTACACACCGTTTTATCAAGACATAAAACCAACGAAAAGAACCAATGAAAGGACACATCTTGGGTAAAACAAAAATTACAATACCAAAAAAGTCACATAATTGTCCAAATTATTAATGACAATATTGTCCTCAAGCATTAAAAATATTTTCAAAACAAATCAATATTTCACCGATCAACCATTTAATAAGAGATCCAAATGAGTAATCCCACATCTGTTTGTTCTAACTCCCATTTCTTAAATTTAAATGGGGAAGATAAATTATCCATTTTATTTTGCCCGCACCTCGTTGCATATGGCAGTGAACGATTGACATGCAAAGGCGTATTTAAATATACTTACTTGAAAGAACGAGATTTCATTATCGCCGTTGGGTACTGTGTTACAAGCCACATAAGTTGAAAAGGAACATTCAAATTTCTAAACACTCGAGATCACTTTTTTCAAGGATGACAGCGAAATCTAACTCGAATATTGCTAGGAATTTGCCGATCAAAATGTGTGCTAATTTACAACCTTGACCAACTGGAAGAATTTTCTGTCCTTTTTTAATCGCTTATCTCTAAAATTAAAATATACAAGGATTAGGAATATTTAGAAACTGTTAGTCTTGCAATCCCATTGGAGAAACAGATTTGGGGTAACCGGGTCAAGTAACATTTTGAAATACCATAATAAACATGCGATTCACTACGAAGAGGGCGAGAACTGAAAAAAGATCCACTTTTCAAGAACGAAAAATTGAATCAGAAGGATGAAGCAAGTTAATTTTTTTACGCTTGGCTGTCTCTCATAATCAAGAGCCCGTCAACGAAATACAATGGATCACTATGTATATTTGGCACTTCCTGCACGCCGAAATCAAATTCTCCCGCAACACTCAAATTTTTTTTTTACGGTATTCGCGAACTATTAAACGTGAACTTACCAGCATTTCCAAGTACTTTGTAAAATCGGTATTCCAAATGCAGCTGTGGTGCCCTAGATTTCATGGGTTCCTGTCAAAAAAGAATATTCGATATTTGCCATCAGCTAGTGGTAATATATCTCATCCTGTATTTCGTCATGAAAGCTTGAACAGCAGACAAAAGTAAGTTGCGACTCACCAATTTGATGGCGACGTGCTCGTTGTTGTACAGATTTTTACCTAACAAAAATGTAGAGTCAAAAATTGAAAAATCATATCTTTCTACGATAAGACTAAAGGCCATAATGCCGTTAAAAAGGCACGGCATATACATAACAAATCCGCGAAACATGGTCGCCTACTCAAGTTCGTACCAAGTCGTAGTTCACCAAAGTTTCCACATCCAATCTTCTTGCCGACGCGAAAATTCGGTCCAACCATCATTACCCCAGAACCAGAACTAGAGCTATTCCTCGGCGAGTGTAAACTACCCCGGCTTGGCCGAGAAACCTTTCTGTCTCGCTCACGGTCGCTCTCCCTTTCACGTTTGGACTGCATATCGACGACCGCCCTGATACCCCTGGTCTTATGCCGTCGATGCGATGCTTAAATTCTCTTTCCAGCCCAACGGGAAAGCCATAAGTAACGATTCATTATGTTCTTAAAACATGGTCTTGTTCTACATTTCACAACTCTAAGCCTAAAACTGTAAAGAAGACGAATAAAGAGCGATTTTTCCCCAGCTGTACACAACCTCTGTAGAATTCAAGTCTGTTAGCTCAAGAAAGTTGTTGAACACGCAAGATCAAGGAGCATGCATTGCGAGCCGCGAACCAAGGTCGCCTGACCGTCAAGAAGGCGTTGTCCCCTAGCAACCTTTGTTCCTTATTTCGAGGACAAACAAAGCGCTCGACGTTGTCCAATATCAGTACGCAAATTTTAATCACTGCTATAACGTTTGAATAACTCGCTCACTCAACAGAATTCTGAGTTCGAAGCTCTCTTAGCTCGTATAAACTGAAAAAAAAAATATTTCAAGAAATTTCAAGCTCTAAATATTCGTTAACTTTCCTTATATATTTTCAACCCGTAAAAAATTGAATTTGCAATGACTGTGTTACCTGAATATCTTCTTCAAGTACTTACATCTCAGCAGTATTCACAAATAGACAAAAGAAACCTCTTGATCTTAGCTAGCTTAGGTCATTGTATCTGCGGGAAACATTTAACTTGAATAACGTGACGCGACGCAAAGTTGAACGAGATCATTACCACAAAAATGTAAAAGGTTGAGATAACGACCTTGTTTTATGGTATCATTGATGATATCGATAGACTGGCTCTTTATTAAGTAACGATCCTGTGTAAATGAAAGGAACCTTTATCTACACTTAATAATTACAGGTGATAGCGCACGCTACGCCTGCTTTAGACTGATTGAACTCATACGTCAAGAAATTTATAAATTTGCACTCGACGTTAAGTTGGTGCACCTGTCGTAATTCAGACCCCCTCCTCTCATCCCGTTTATCTCTGCTTCTATTACAAAACCAAGAGACTATGATCAAAGTAGATCATCTCGACAAAAGACAAGACAAAGACATTTACAGTCGTACTGTCTTTTGGCTCTTGACCACAACCTTGTTTATTTATTTTTTTTGTCAAAAATAATGCAATACACTTCAAAATTATATGTACCAGTTTATGAATAGATTAATTTCGAGATCCTTCCGCCGGGATTATAATATTATCGTAATAACTACAGCTGAAGTGTTCAGAGGGTTAAATTATTATTTACATAATGACTCCATTTTTTCCGACCACCGGAATCAGCTGCGAATTCAGTGCACCTGACAGCTACAAACGTCACCTTGTACTTTTGATGACGCTTAGTTGCCTTGACACTTATTAGTTTTTCTTTATAAACATACCCTTCATATTAAACAAGGTGTTACATATTGTTTCTCGAGCGATTTTCAGAAGACATAGATGGCCACCACGAGCCTGGAATCACGCGATATTTGACCGATATATTGCATGGTGACTGAACTGCACTCGGAGTTTAAAAATCCCTGAATATCCTTCAATATTTTAAATTGAAAATATCACCGGATGCTTGTTCCGGTGGAAGCAGCTGAGACGACGCCTTTCTGTTTTGAACCTTTGTAATGTCAGTGTTTATGGTCTGTGTATCGATCCACATTTTAAGCGTCAATTTTTAGAGAAATGTCTATCTAGACAATTCCGCCTTGCTTAATATTTAGACCTAGAGGCTAGACAGAGTCAGAGTCAGTTCACTGCATGGTAAAATAACCTTCTCTACACTTCACGGGTTATACTTCTGCTCCGGTATCCAGATTATTATCATAGTTAATATATGTACGTCCTCTTATACAAAGAGTGGACATAAATTGTTTTGATTACCATAGTTATCGAGACATCATGGCTGAATATAGAGACCAAAATTATTTTAATACCACTTGCACCTTTCAGAGACTGCTATGAAATTTTTACTTCCATGGCGAGCATTTACACTTCCAATTTCAGTGTTGGTGTAAACATGATGTTCAGTCTTGTCCAAGTTGACGCAGGCGCGGACTAAGAGCTGAGACCTTGTGTTCATATCATGTCATGTGAATTAATTGGTAGTACAAAATGTCAATTGTTACCTACGTGCACTGTCGCCAGTGAGTCAATCAGAGTCTCTTACGTAATGGCTTGAAACCAACAGATCGTCAAAAAACCGGGGGTACTTCATGATATTTCAGTCCGGTGAGAATATGTGGCCCGCCTTTAGTTCGCGAAACATTTACTGTGATTCAGGCTAAAGATTAAACTTCAACACCTGACTTTAGTCCTGACCACAAAACCAATGCCCCATCTTTCCTTTCTCAGACCCGAGAAGGGTCTCATAATGTACGATGCCTTGATCCCCTTATCAAGAGGGTTGGCTACCACGTAAAAAGAAAATCTTTTCTTTTAAAGCCTGCTCCTAATGTTTGACAAGAGTACACACCTCGTTTCAAAATCGTCTAAATGTATTCCCTGTTTTAAAAATAGACCGTTTAGCAGCAAGTGACACTGAGTATAGTGCCCTTTCCACCAGCTATTCCGGCATTGTCGACATATGACTAATTATTTACATCGGGGAAACGAGGCATAACACAGCACATAACACAGGAGGACGGGGATTTAAGAGTGCACCCAAAAAGTCCACAATTTTTGTTGTCTGGTCACAACAGGGCACCAAAAAAAAGTACGTGCCTGAACTTGCGTTGTGTGTGCACATGTTCACCTAATCAAGCATAGAAAAATTACGGTCGGATTGTGTTCAGAGACGCGTGAAAACAGTCTCACGAATTTTGAAGTGACTTAAAGCAAATATCGAACAGCCTGAAAATTTGAATTATTGAAGATATTGGACGCAGAAATGCGACGCTTTCTTGACGTCTATGTCTACTATCATCTTCTCTCATCTTCTAAATAAGAAGACTTTTCTGGAGACGGTCCAAAATTCATAGAGCGTAATACCCAGAAAATGACGCGCGGGCTTACGTGCTGGTGACATTTTTTTTTCCAGGGTCTCTTTTCCTTCGCTCGCTCGCGTTTTTCACACAGAAAAGAAAAACCTCGAAATAAACTATGTAACAGTTCAGCTTACTTTGTACTTCGTCGCGTTCCCTTCTTGAAAGGCATGAGAGATTTTAGGGTAATTATATGCTGAGCAACAAAACAAAGACAATCGTCGGAAATCTTTTGGAAAGATGCCAAGCGGAAAATTCAACAGCTGAGTAATTAAGCTGTAACGTCAAGAAATAATATACAGCAGAGAGAGCTTGAACTGTAGAGACGTCAGCCAGTGATATCGAAAATTGGGGGCTCAGGAAATACGGCTGTTTTGTAATAAGTCCTGATCAATCGCAAACGCCGAATGATTTGCTAGACCCTCATCGAATGATTACGAGCGCTATATATGTTAAGCTATAAGCTTCTATTTTTTAACTCGATTTTTGTCCCCCACAAAGTGTGTGGATATCTCTCTGGTTGAATGAGTGTGATAGTCACACCTTGAGAGTTGTGACCAGTCAGTATTGTATTTTTATCTTATATATGCCACACATTCTTATCTTATTTATATTTTTATGTTGTAAGTATTTTTCATTAGTTTTTAAACATAATATTTAGATCTTGCTATTTTTATGCTAAAGTATCCCTATTAAGTGGTTTTATTACTGCCTTTTTTAGCTTGACACTTGAATAAAAGTATTACTTGCTTATGAGAACTCTGCAGCCATTCATGTGTCATGTATACTCTCGTGGCCCCGTTCAATTTTAAATTTGGTTTTCCTTTCCATGGTTTATAAAATTTTTCTTCTGGTGTTTATGTTTTCAGAAAGACGAAGTGTTAAGGCAGACACCTTTAAAAATGGCATTATAATTTACTTCTTCCATTGTCTTCCCAGTCACTTTTAGCTATTGCAAACGTCACGTGAGCAAAGTAGCTATTCCGTCCAATAATTACTTTCTGATTCGTATAATTTATTATTTGAATAAGGCTGTTGTCCAAAACAGTACAAGAAGACGAGAATAGGTATGAAAATGGGAGACACGAGACATTCTGTCTTGAGCTTGAGTTTCTTCGAGTAATTGTACTGATAATGGATAATTTCTTGAAAACTGATTCTTGAAATTTTTCATTTTGTTTCAATATTTAGCATGGTGATCTGTTTTTATGTGGGATTTTTTATGGGGTCAGGGAAGTCAGGGACTCTTTAACGGATCATCCATATGGCTTTCTATTTTTTATGTCACATTTTCATTTCATTTCCATTTTTACTTATTTTTACTATAACGTTCAAACTGTTCTGGAAATCAACTCGTTTAAAATAAGATATAGATAAAAATAAACGTGGGTTAACTCGTTTTGTTTTGATCCGCGTTTGTTTGGCTCTATGCGATCTAGTGCGAAAGAATTTGTGAAGTAGGCAACACGCTGAAGTTTTCCATTTAAGTTTATATATTTTTCACTGGATTTAATTTAGGCAAGATTCGATTACTTTGCATTTGGCATCGTGACTCAGCAGTACACTCGGCCCCGTCCTGTTCGTACCTGTCGGAGGCAATCTGGTAATGAGGCAGGAAATAAGCGGGAAAATATGGTCAGCGGTAGCAAACAACAAAACAAATCGCGCTTTTTGGCCATTTTCCGTTGTAAGCTTCCTAAGTCACTTCAGTTTTTCAGCGTATTGTTGTAATAACAAAAGAAAATCAAGTGCCGTTCTAATGGATGTGACATAAAGCATCGTCTTTTCGTTCACCAGTGGCTTCAAAATGGTATAAATCATGCGAGATGGCTACGAGTGACTGGAGTTCCACTTACACAGAGGGAGGACGCTCGGCGAGCGCTTCGATTTCTCCCATTCCTGTATCAACGGGCTCTCCGCCTGACAGTGGTAATAGTTCGCCAAATTCTCCGGCATTTGCTCAAGATGTAAGCATCTTTTAATCGTTTTTTCTTTAAAGTTACAATAAATCCCCATGTAAACTCTAAACGTATACTACATTTGTTCGCAGGAATCATGATCATGTTGATTTCCGCGTGTCAAATGATTGCAGTTGATTTTTAGTTAATTTGCTCATGTCATGAAGGAGAGGTTAAATGACACTAGTCTTGATCGAGAACATCCTAGTTCTAATGCGATCTAAGCGACAGGGTTTCGATTTTAACAATCCGCACGTGTAGGTGGGTTGTGTTGTTTTTTTCAGTACGGATTGATTGATCGGCCTCGACCAGCTTATCTCCCGTTCATGTGTACTTAGTGTACACAAACACGATGTTTGATCTGGAAATTTGTGGTAGTTTGTCGACATTCGCCAATCAGTGTGAGCGTACTATTTTCATCCTATCACGACATCAGTGCTTTAATACCCACTTGCCGACGTAAACAGCTCAACACCTTGGTTAAATGACATAAACATTGTTGTTCTTTTGTTTTAGAGTTTATAAAACTTTTAGAAAGTGTTGAAACACCTGCCATTTTGAATTTTGAAATTTCAAAGAAGCTTTGCTAATGCAGAGGATGCGAAAAAGGGTAAATAAACATTTGAAACTCCTAGTGGGTAAATTTGCATCAGGGTTACATGACTCTCTTAACCCATTGACTCCTGGAGCTTTTTGCTAATAAACGCATTTTTTGGAAGTTTTGGAGATTTTCAGGCTGGATAAGGGCCAAATTAGCTCCAATCTACTCAAAAAGGCATTTGCAACATGACAGCATGCCTTTCTTTCCCCTAGCATTGCATTTTACGACATTTTCACTCAGGCATGTGCAGAAATCAAAATATTGAGATGACCTACGTCTTTAGGCTTTTCGATTTTTTAATTTTTTTGCCTTTCCTTTTTCTTCTTTTCTTTTTGCTGCAGTGATTGACCTTCTACTGGGCTTGCTTCCAGTTTAAAACATTCTGAGAAACAATCATTGAGATAGGCAATTTTTGCCACGGAGTAGCCACATATAGGGGCAGGAAATTTTGCTCTGAGTTTTTCACTCAACTTTTTGAGCATTTTTGTGCATATCTCAGGCCCCATGGGGCTGATTACTCTGATCTGGGTATCATTGGAAAGATCTTTTCCTCCTGCAGAAGTTGAGCATAGATGATGCCAATTTTGGTCAAGGGTGATGACGTCAGAAGTGGAAGAAAGGCCAAGGCTCGTCACAGCCAGTTACGGCTGGCACAGGAGTCAAAGGGTTAAGGTGGCGGACAATAATTGCCAACTCTTTCCATCACTAATACTCTGCTGGATCAGTACTTCCACTGTACTCTTAATCAGATGATACTAAAATAATGTTATCATGTAGATGTCAATAACAATGACCAATTTGTGGGCATCCTGTTTTATATATATATATCAGGTTACCATAGCAACAGCATTACCTGTTATTACATCTTTAGCTTTAGCTGTTTAAATGCTTATAACTGCAAAACTTATTGAAAATTTTTCTTTTCTCTATTTATTCTTGGAAAACTGCTGGCATTTAAAGTAAAGTCAAAAAGCGTTTGAAATTGCTGTCAATTCTGAGTTCTGGATCCTGGAAATTTTATATTTGTACTCCAGAAAACTCCTGGAATAATTTACTTCCTCTTCAACTGATTTGAATCCTGACCAGTGCTATTCAGTAGATGTTAACAGGGTTCTCATTAAGTGCTGGCCGTCTACTCCCTAAATTAATGAGAACCCTGTGTTTAGTTATCAAGGTGTGAAATGTGTTTGAAATGCTCTAATAGGACTGATAGTGGTGGTGAAAAGTAAGACCTAGCAAATGACAATTACCAGTAGAATACATTTCACGCTAAAATTGCACAAAAATCTTGTACATTCATGTACGCCATACCATTTACAGCTATAGGTTGTTTTATATTCACTGCCAGCTACAGTTTTTAGCAGAAATACAAAACCTGCAAGTATTCTAAAGCCAGAAAACTATATAATTAGTCTCAAGACAGTTTGTCAAATCCTGCTTGTTTTGGTTGAATTGGTAATGATCATTTATATTAAAAGACAATGTAACCCTGTAACTATGCTATTTATTTAAATCAATTGTGTCCTTTGTTATTTTCAGAGTATTGAACAAGCTGACGAAATGGATGTGGTGCCCAGGAACAATGACCAAGTGGCAGAATACGAAAATGAAATTCGGGAACTTAGATGGCAACTACAGAGGTTGCAAGAAGCTGGAAATCTAATGGATTACACAGGCAAGAATCAAGTCTCTTGTTGTATTTTGTTATCATGTATAAAATAATGTTTTAAAAATAGAAGAACCGTAGCCAGGACAAAACATATTAAAAATTTATAAAAAACGTTCACTGGCTACATAAAGTTAAAACTTTCAGAGCTTTCGGCTGTCAGACTATAGCCTTCGATGGATAAAAAGTGGAAAAGATAACAACTACAAATATATACAAAAATAGGTGGAACTATAAAAAGAATATATTAAAAAGGAAAAATATAAGTGTTAATGAACTAATTGTTCTTTTTTAAAAGAATGGAGTATTGATTGGGGAGCAGCTTTGAATTGTTATCTGCATGATCTGTCGAAACGGTGTGCCATGATTCTAGCGTCTTACGAATATGTGAAGAGCCCTTGTCAATCACTTGGGAATTTTTAAAGTCAATAGAGTGATTTGAAGACCAAGCGTGTTTAGCGATGTTGGAACCTCTTGCGTAAGACATCACATTCCTCATGTGTTCTTTGTTTCTCGTTTCAAAGCATCTGCCAGTCTCGCCCACATAGCTCCCTGGGCAGTCGGCACAAGATATTTTATAAACCACATTTGGTTGAAGTTCAATCGGAGGTTGAGATTTAGGAGAAGGAAACTCCTGTTGTAATGTCTTGACTGGCTTGTTGACGATAGTTTTTGCATCATTAAAAGAAATGCAGTCGACTCTTTCCATAACACACTCAATGCTATCGATCAACACATCTCCTTCACTATTGAAGAAGAAAATAATAAGCAGATCGCTTTCCTGGACACCTTGGTTACTCGCAAGGATAATGCTCTCATTATTGATGTATATCGA